TACAGCGAAGGCAGAGGATGTGTGTCTGGAGCCAATGCAAGTGCTCCAGACACAGAGATGCCTTCGGGACCCTGCAGGCAAAAATAGAAAGGTCAGAGGTAAAAACAAAGCAATCCAAGCAGAGCGGTTGTTAGAGAAGTCTCAGAGGGCTTCTTGTTTTTGTTCATCTGTGTACTGTATGTGTGTCTGAAAACATGCTAGAAAACTAGTCAGCTGCTGCAAAGTGCTTTCTGGAGGTACAGAAGCATTATTTGCCCTTTGTAATTAGGGTAACTGAGATGAAAGTGCTGAGCTGCCAAAAACAGAGAGAGGCTTGCAACTGAATCTTTAATTTTGGCCTTTTGCTTTGCTTCAAGGGTAGGAAATGAAAGGCTTGTGCATGTCATCCTCAAACATCTTCCTACCTGACATATTTTCTTCTTTTCACACTTATGCACAGCACAGGAGAACCCTTTTCTGACCTTCTGTGAGAAGATACTGAGGGACCAAGATCATGGCCACCTACACACAGTCATCCGTGGAGCTCATGTATTCAGCCTATGCATGTGCAACAGTAGGGTTGTTATTGCACAATCGAGAACCCTGAAAAAGCAGGGCTCTTGCTCATGCATAGAGTGTTGCATGCAGGTACCTCTGTATACAGTTAGGCTCTAGACATGAATCCCAGTGAAGGCATCTATGCTAGGAGCAGACCTTGCCACTACAATCCTTGTCTTATGGCTCCGATCAGACACAGAAGTTGCCACAGAAGCGGCATGAATGCTGGGCGGATTATAAAGGCGCAATCACACAGCAACATCTGACCAGCATAGTGCACCCATTGCAGCCAGACGAAGATGCAGAGTAAAAAGCTACCTCCGAAAGTCCACTAGCAAACGGCTTGCGATGGGCCACTGCCGGACTCTCCTTGTGTGTGTGATCGCTCCAGCGCGCTCCTCTTGCGTCATTGGAGCTCGCCGGGAATGTGCAGCAATGAAGGAAACTGCCGTCGCATCTGATCGTCATTGCAGCGGGACACACTGTGCCGCCGCAAATAGCCACGCCTCCCCCCTGCGTTTCCCAGCAAGTGTGAATGGGACCAAGGACTAGTAAAGAAGGCTATGGTCTGTATTAATCGAGAGGAAAACCTGGTTGCGCGGGAGTGTTCCTTGTTTTGTGGATGTTGTCTAGAATGGAATTTAATAGTATTCATCTACTCCTCAAACAGAGAGAAAGAGAAGGAAAAGCAGGAGATTATCTATATTTTATGGTAATTCCATTTGCCTCTAGACTGGAGTTCATAAGAAAAGAAAGCTATAGCATGTGAGAGTTACTCTTTGAAGGTGTCTAAGGATAACTAGTTGTCATTTATCCACTACCACATTGGGGGATCCATTCATTTTTGAACTTCTCCTTATGGTGGCATAATAATTGAGAAGGAAACCACTCTCAGCTTTCCATATAAAAACTTAAGGCTGCCCTAGTGAAGAATACTATTTTATAGATGGCAGTAAGAGACTTGATTTGAACAGATGGCTTAGATACATCAGAAACCACAGAGAATAATCATTCATTAATTCAGAGAATGCAAATACTCGTAATACCATTAAAATATTCTACCTGAAGCCCCCATTTTACTTTGAGGAGTCTTAACTTTTTAGATGACTGTTCAGCATCTGTTTAATGCAAGTGATGAGCTAGAGAAGCAGTCCCATCCCATGGTACATCTGGGGAGCAAAAGAGATGAGGCTATGGTGATTGAGAAGGTCTTGGCACAGAAGAGAATTTGGAATGGGGGGGTTCATTGTTTATTTGATTAATTTATTATTATGCCACTTTTTAGCACCAATATCCCCAAAGTGGCTTACAAAAGTAAAACAACAGTGAAAAAACCCTCTAAAATAACAATAAATGCAAACCACACTCACTACTGACCTATAACCGCATAAGAACCACTCCGGGTGCCATTAAAACACCCCAGTTTAAAAAAAAAACTGTAGAAACTGAGTAGAGGGGGGATCTTTAAAGTATTTCTGAATGCCAAAAGATAGCAGTCAAGCTGTGTACCTCTGGATCCAGTAAACTATGGAATACCCTTAGGTTAGCAGTCATCATAGAAAGTTCATGAAACCACATTTAGAACAAGGAAAGTGGACAAAGAGACATGGAAAGGTGAAGCAGATCTTATTTTGTGGATGGGTGAGAAAGAATGAAATGGAAAGATTAGTATTTGATGAAGGAGCTTAAATGTCTAAAATCAAATGTATCCTGGAAGCATCAAGCATGAGAACTATAGCATGTCTCTGTGACGTGCAAGCCCCCAACAGTTTTTACCACAGACCTTTAGTCTAGCTCTTGAATGTGCAAGATGAGCTTTGTAATCTGATTTCTATAAAATTCTGCCATTGCCACAATAGAAACAATGTTCAGTAATGGACATAAGAGAAGCTATGCTGGATCATACCTGTGGTTCATCTATTGCAGCATCTTATGTCCAACAGTGGCCAGTAAGATTTCCCAGAGAGGTCCACAGAGAGGGCCTGCAGTCAGTAGCCCTTCCCTGCTGATTGCTCCCCATCATTGAACAGTTGGATTCTGCCTTTGAACTCAGAAGTCCCATTCAGCAGTGGTAACTAATAGGTCTTGTGAAGGAACAGACTCATAAACTCTTCCCTGTCCTTATGGTTGGGCCCTGAGAGGTCAGAAAAACCCAGCAACCATCCCACATCTGTTCCTGGTGATGCCACCCCTTCCCCTACTCCACTGGGGTGCCAAAGACAAACTGGACACCTTCTGCCACTAATAAGTCTAACAACCCTGAGAGTATCACCTGCTGAGCAGAGCTGTACCTCTAGTGCTCTGTACCTGTATTGTCATTTAAAGGCTTCACTTCATTGCTGCACCTGCCTGTTTCACTCCACAAGATTGCACAAGGACGATCTCCTGCAGCTCTGCACATTCACACTATCATGCTCCAGGGATGGTGAATTGACCCACTGCCTGTTAGATCGCTGCTAAAAAAGATCCAGAGAGTGATTTCAACAAAAGTGATCAGCTTTATTGTAGTTACGAACAAGCGCTTGAAAGAAGTCATAACTAGAACAGATTAACATTGGGAGCTAGGCTCCTTTTAAACATTCCCGGGCTAATGTAGCCACGCCTATTTACACAAAGTAACCAATGAGGTTGCTCAGATAACATCCAATGAGGGTTCTTCCCTGTCAGGGAATTGGTGCAGCTCTGATTGGTCGCTGTTGTGGAGCGACCAATAGTGCATTAGTTCGGAGGAGCCTTCGTCTGGTTCGAAGCTTAACATGGAACGGTTAATGCTGCGATTCATGTAAGTCATTTTGAATACACCACACTGCCCATCCCAATGATCACACTTCAGATAGCAAGACCATGCAGGTGTGGTGTGTTTTTGTTCAACTTTCAAAATAGAAGAAAGTTTAATAAAAGAATGGGTGGGAAACACCCTGGTTCACCTGCGTGCTGTTCAAGCTTTCAGGGTGAGCAAGCAAACAAACAGAAAGTGAAAACCCAAAGCCGTCTTTTCTAAATGATGTTTGATTTAGGATGAGCTAGCTTTACTTGAAGTTGCAGAAGCTCTCGTGGTTGGGTCTTACCTTAGTTCTCATGGTTGGGTCTTCCCTCCATTGTCCCTGCCACATGGACAAGATGGACCCTAGGTAAAAACTTAGTCTATCATGGCATGTGCTCCAAAGCACAGGATGCAAAGGTAAGGGAGCTTCTTCCTCCTGTCCTGAGAATTTATAATCTACCTTGGGGAGTCCATCCCACATGGCGGTCATGTGGATCCTTCTGCCCCAGAAAGTAGAGTTTATTGTCTAGCCATTAGCTATTAGAAGTGTCTCTCCCTTTTGGTTGTGAGGAAGTAAGTAATTGTCAGGGGTCATTTCGTAGAAAAAGAGCTAGGGGAACTCATTAGCATAACTCATTAGCATATGCCAGACCCCCTGACATCACCGGAAGTGTGTCATAAGGCCACACCCCCCGCCCCCAACGGTCCCGGCTGCCACCGCCGGCCTTGCAGCTCCACTGCCGAGCCCCATGAGGGGCCCGGTGGTGGACCTGCAAGGCCAGCGGGAGTGCAAGGAAGCCCCGCGAAGGCCCTCCCTGGCCCCAGGCAGGCAGGGGTGGAGAGAGGCAGGGAGGAAGCAACTTACCCTCCCTCTTCTCCTGCCTCCTCCTGGCTGAATGAGGGCCGGAAGTGGGACGGCCGGAAGCAGGGGGCGGGGCTTCGTCATGTGCACCGCCCCCATACCTCACCCGGGGGAACTGCGTTCCCCCGCGTTCCCCCCGAAATGACCTTTGGTCATTGTCCTGCATTGGCCAAACTCATTAGGATAACCAAGCACTGGAGTGCTTGAAGCTTGATAGCACTTTCCTTCAACTGCCTCCGCTCTGCCAATTACTAGTCTGCAGCTGTGTCCCCTGTACATGAACAGAGAGCAGTCACAACAATTGAAATACTGGGATGAATTCTTGGGTGGAGAGCTTAGTTTTCCATGAATCTGTCCAACCTCCTTTTTAAAATGTATTGAAACTAGTGGCTATTAGCACTAAATGAGCAATCAGTCACTAGGATCTTGTCAAATGTTCTATCAAATATGGCTTTTACTCTCCAGGAAGGATTTTTTTGTGCAGCTATTTTCAAAGTCCCAAGCAGGTGGCTTCTTAGGTTTATTGATCTACACTGCATCACCTAATGGCTAATCTACTGGACATGTACAAATAGCTGTATGAGTTTTATTTCTTGTACTACTGGTCTAGCATTACCAGATGATTTAGTACATGGCTAAACATCATTGCAAAACTTAATTCAGTCATAATTTCATCCTACTGAGAATTTTAATTCTAGCTTTATTGTGCCACTTGATAGAAAAGAATATTTTCTTTTAATTTTTAAATATGAGTTTTCCTGTACCATTTATGTTACTGTACTGCAAAAAGAAATAGTCAAATCTTGCTGTTTCTTTTTCTTTTTTCTTTTGTAACAGGTAAATGGTTCAACTATGGAATCATATGTCTTGTTTTAATCTTGGATCTTAACATGTGGAAGAATCAAATATTTTATAAGCCACATGAATATGGTCAGTATATTGGTCCTGGGGAAAAGATCTACACCGTGGAAGACCCAGGAAGCTTAAAAGACCTCAACAGAACCAAACTGTCTTGGGAATGGCGCTCAAACAGCACTAATCCATTGACCAACAGAACTTACGTTGAAGGAGATATGTTTCTGCATAGCCGATACATTGGGGCAAGCCTAGATGTCAAATGCCTGGCCTTCATTCCAAGTTTACTGGCTTTTGCGTTGTTTGGTTTCTTCATTTGGTTCTTTGGACGGTTTCAGAAAACCGATCAAGGCATGGAGAACCTTAACAAATCATACACACGCATGAAAAGGAAATCACCATCTGATGTGGGAATGACCCGTGAGAACACCCAAGTCTTAACAGAGGAGCCTTTAAGTTTTGATGATCCACATTTGATATCTATCAAGTCAGATTTGAGTGAGATTGTCTTTAATTCTTCCCTGCTGACATCTGAAAACCTGAATTTGCACTTAACTGAGCAACCAAGTCCACTGCAACCAATAAGAGAGCCCTCTGTACCTAAGGATCATCCTTTAACCTAATATGGCTCTCTGGGAAAAAAAATGAAGCAACAAACAATTATTGTGTGATTTCTTTGTTACTTGTTTTGTAAGTGACTGTTTACATAGTCTTTAGAACAAGAGATACAACTTATACCACAAAGGTGCTCAACATGCTTTCCCCTCTATGACTTTGTTTTCTATTCGTATTATAATGAATTGTGCCTACTGTATTATATCAAACATTCCTTTATAGATTGCTTCTGGGGGAAAATTGCAAGAGTGTGCTATATGACTACTTGCAGGTATAAAATTCTACTTTGGTGGTGCCTTGAAATATTAAACCGTCTTTCTAATATAATGGTGTGGATCCCATCTAGTGCAAGCAGAGCGTGCAAGATAAGGGGAACTTTCCTGTCTCCCCTTTCCTGTTGTGTTCTCTCCCGTATCTCCCCCACCCCTGGTCAGGTTCAGTGGTCTTCAAAATAAGTGTGGGGCAAAACAGGAGGGAGGAATTGTTGAAAGCTGCCCTCTGCTCTGCCGCTGGTGGAAGTGCCTTCTGCCGGCAGGAAGGGAGATTAGGATCCAAGCCTTAGAAAAGTGGTGAAGCTGTCCTTTTCAACTGTTTTGCAAGAGCAATGTTCTTTGAAATAGAATGATTTTGAGATTGGGAGAGTTAATGTATGGCCCCTAGGCTATGCTGGGTTACCCTTAGATTCACTAAAGATCTACTTCCTACACTGGTCCTAGAGCCTGGCATACAGACAGTTTTTTGGCAGAAGGTAGACTTTCGCTTGCAGAAGACCTTGCAAGATGCGGTGCAACTTGCAGCAGACTGCCAACCTTATATTTACAGTAGCATCCTAAGCAAAGTTAACACTTTTTAAATCCACTGAAGTCAGTGGGTTTAGAAGGGTACAACTCCATTTAGGGTGGCACTGCTAGACCCTTCCTGGATATATGTGTCATCCACAGAAGAATGATGTCAGTTTTGTGTGCCTGGGAGTGTGTGTGTGGGGGGGGGAATTTCTGATAAGGAACGGCAGTGAAAGTCTGACTTTAGTCCACTGACCTGTAGTCTGTGACTTTAATGGCTGGACTTCAAAGAAGCATGTTGATTACCTTTTTAATTTTGCTGGCTGTCTGCCAGACACATGCACCACAGATTCATAGCACCGTAAGCTGAGAACGATAATGCGGCATGGTTCACTACTTAACAACATGTGACTTTCTCCACCAGATAATTGCAATTAGGTGATAATACCTAATTATGTTTTTCATAATTAGAGATAAATTGCCACTTAATTAAAAATCTCACCCTTCACCTTCTTAGGATCAAAAAGTTAAAATGCAGAATTTGAAGGAAGAAAGAGTTGGACTATCAGCTGAAACCTATGCAATGCCAAAGAACAATATTGGGAATGTACTTGAGGATAATATTATGAGTACATCATCTGCAGAGTTTGTGAACTTTTTTTTTGTAAATATGGATAAAGGTATATCCAAACAGAAACGTGTGCAATGCTACCGAGGAAATGGACTCTGGCCATAGGTTCTGAGGTGAGAGTGAATGCATGAACTAGACTAATGAGTTCTGTGTTGTTTTGTTACTTTGAAGAATTGAACACTATGTCCACTAATAAAAAAGGAAATTCATAAGCAAAAAAACCCATTGTATTTATTTTTGGGTCTGCTTTTTTAGGTCAGTCAGCTGTATTTTTCACACACAGTCCTCACCTTCTTTAAATCTTAACCTGCTTCAGGTATAGACCCATTCTTTCATTCCACACATTTTTAACCACTCTTGCTCTAAGGAGCTTACAGTACATCGAGTTCTCCCTTTTTATCATAGCAACCTTGTAAGATAAGTTATCTGGATGGTCACTTTACAGGTTTCTAAGTCCATCGTGTTTTGGTGAACAACACTAGGGCTTCAGGAAGGGGCTGTGGCTCAGTGGTAGAGCATCTGCTTGGTACGCAAAAGGTTCCAGGTTCACTGCCAGGCATCTCCAGTTAAGGACCAGGCAGTAGGTGATATGAAAGACCTCTATCTGGGACAATGGAGAGCTGCTGCCAGCCTGAGTAGGCAATACTGACTTTGATGGACCAAGAATCTGATTCAGTATAAGGCAGCGTCATGTGTTCAATAAGAGTTTTGTGCCTCCCAGACTTATACATGCCCTTTTCTCCTCCTACCCGCAGTGTGCAGGTAAAAGTGGCTTCACTCTTCCTGTCTTGTGCCATTTTTGCTTCCTCAAATAGCTCCATGAAGCCACATTTTGCTTTGTTTACTTGACTGCATGTAAGTATAGCAGTGGAGCCAATACGATCATGGGATGGTTTGAAGATGTGAAAATGGCTGGGAGGAGGGAGGCTGAAGCTGCCTCTGGTCATGTGCTGTGGTCTGAAGAAGGAAAGGGCTTGCGTGAGTCTGGGAGACACAGAACTCCCACTGAGTGTCTGAGGCACAGTTCCCACGTTATCCACCAACAAACATGAGGATTTGATGATGTATGAAGTGACCTGACTGTGCCGACCGAATGAGCCTCGACAAGGGCTTGAGCCCAGCTTCCTCACTCAGTGTGCATCCTTGCTGCCACACCACACTGCCTTCCACACTGCTATAAAAATAGTTATTTTTCAGTCCTCTCATGATGCTTGTGTATTTTGTTCTGATCTGCCCAGTTGCTTTTAAATTGGCTGCACTCTAAAATTAGCATGCATAATTGAACGACGCATTTATTACCACTTTCTAGAGAGCGAAGTTTTAATAATGTTTAGCAACTGATAAGGCTGGAGCTAGCCCTTGTATATTTTTGTACTTCCTTTGTGCTTGGATACCCCCGTCCCACATATTTGCTGCAGTCAGAAAATTCTTCCATAATGCCCTTGCAGCACTGATGTAATGTCAGAGTTTGTAAATGATGCATTGGTGCCGTGATAGATGTGTCCCCACTGTAAACACTTCTTTGTTGGCACAGAGCCGGCCTGGGCATCAGGCTGTTGAAATCATAAATATTTCTGGCATTGATGGGGGGGGGGGGAACACCCTGCACAGACACTGAGATCAGAGGAATATCAACACCATCCACTTTGCCTACAGAAGATTTAATATTTTATCAAGAGAAACTTTTAATCACACCAAATGTTTAGCCTCTGGAAATTATATTTCTCATTAGTGTTTGGTAAAAGGAAACTTGTTAAAGCTGTACCGAATAGAAATTAGTTTTATAGTGAATGCCCACTACTTATTAGAACACAAGAGCTATTGTTTTTTCCATGAACCGTTCTATGATTTTTGTTTTCTCATATAAATTCTGCAGGATATAGACAAAGGGATACATCTGGGAGGCAGGCTTACAAATGGCTGATTGGTTCTATCAATACTCAACCTTCTGTTCTGAACTATAAAATTGTGACAAATCCTTTGATGATCCACTCCCCTTTATTAGTGTATAAGGCTGGTTAATTTGATTAAAGTGTAAAGAGAAAATATGAAAGATTGACATGAGTCTTTCTGTTTACATGATTGCGTGGCCTGAAGGCACCCGTTATTACGCAATAGACCCATGGTTTGAATAATTCTATGACCTTACATCAAGCCATTACTTTTAGCTTGATGAAAGACTACAACAAGATAAGTACATAAAAGACTAGTAGTAAGCAGAACATCTTGTAATCCTGAGATTTTCCAGGGGTTTGCAAATTAACAGTAAAAAAAGCCCTTTAGTGTACAAAAAAAGTATTCACAGAATTTAATGCAAAGTCTGCAGCTAAGACATTTAACTATTAAATTGTCTTTACCTGTGTATCGATGTTTTTGTGAAATATTGGGGGTTTACTTTATAGTCACTAGTTCTGTTGCATACATGGCAGGATTTGCCCAATTCTGTTTCTTTGTGTTAGTGACATGTCTGACTTTTCCACATGCTTTGCGACAACTAGGAATGGATCCACAACTCATTGGATATCCCTTTTCAGATGGTATGTTTTCAGATGATATGCATACTAGGAGATGAGCAACCATACACAGATCCCCCCAATATGTGTTGTTGCTGTGCTGTCAAAGCATGTATTATACAGGAGTATACAGGTTCACTATGTGCAAGCGGATTACTATGTTTTCCAGGGTTCTGGTTCTCATGTAACCACATACAAAATACATGGGTTGCTCCTATTCAGAGAATATGGTAACAATGCATATCAGTACCATCACAGGTAGAATGCATTTCTGATACATGTGATTGCCAAGCTCCCAAACTTGCTTAACGTAACAGCCACACAGAATAAACGTCAGATGTTTGAGAGCCACAAGACATGAACAAATATCACACACATGTTTTTATTGAAAAATATGCAAATTTGCTTTTTATTAACATTAAATTAGACGGTGTGAAAGAGCCACATGCGGCTCCCGAGCTGCAGTTTGGCCACCCCTGGGCTATACCATCTGAAACGGGCAATTGTGCTATTGTAGTTCTTCACCTCCAGGATGTTCTTGTCTACATAGAAAGATTTAGGAGTTGAACTATGGGATCCAATGACATTGGAGCCAGACTAGCTCTCTCACAAAACTGTCCCCCCTGATTACATCATCATCCAGCTCTACCCCTTCTTAATTTCTTTTTTGATTGATGATGACTTAAGGGGTTCCATATTACTGGATCAACTGAAGCTGATCCAGTAAGAGATGCTACTTATCTAGTTTATGAATTTTAAAAAGCATCTCCTGGGATTGACCTGGCAACAACTGTCTACACTGTTCACATTCTTCATTTTTAGATACCATTAGCTCCCTATTGGAGGACTATTTGTGGAAGAGAGTTTTTTCCAAATAATTCAAAAGACTACCCCTTAAATTACATGAAATTATAAAGGTAAAGGTTTCCCTTGCTCAAAAGCCAGTCGAATCCAACTCTAGGGGGCGGTGCTCATCTCCGTTTCCAAGCTGAAGAGCCAGCACTGTGCAAAGATGTTTCCGTGGTCATGTGGCTGGCATGACTAGACAACAAGGTGCACGGAATGCTGTTACCTTCCCACCAAAGCGGTACCTATTTACCTACTTGCAATTTCTTGCTTTCAAACTGCTAGGAGGTTGGCAGGAGCTGGTGCCAGAGATGGGAGCTCACGCGGTCTTGAACTAGGCTCGAACTAGCACTAGGGTCTCAAACTGCTGAACTACAGACCTTCTGGTCTGCAGCTCTGTGCCTTAACCTCTCAAGTGTAAATTTGCACTGTTCAAATCAGCACTGAATCTGTTAACTTGGGTGAATTTTTAGGTGCAGACTAATTGTTTCTACTGGCTTTCGGAAGCCAAGAGTGCTAGAGGACAAGGACATAAGAGAAGCCAATGTTGGATCAGGTCAATGGCCCATCCAGTCCAACACTCTATCACAAAGTGGCCAAAAATACCAGGTGCCATCAGGAGGTCCAGCAGTGGGGCCAGGACACTAGAAGCCCTCCCACTGTTGCCCCCCCAAGCACCAAGAATACAGAGCATCACTTGCCCCAGATCGAGAGTTCCTATCTATACCTTGTGGCTAATAGCCACTGATGGACCTCTGCTCCATATGTTTATCTAATTCCTTCTTGAAGCTGTCCATGCTTGTAGCCACCGCCACCTCCTGTGGCAGTGAATTCCATGTGTTAATCACTCTTTGGGTGAAGAAGTACTTCCTTTTATCTGTTCTAACCCGACTGCTCAGCAATTTCATTGAGTGCCCATGAGTTCTTATATTGTGAAAAAGGTAGAAAAATAGTTCTTTCTCTACCTGCTCTATCCCATGCATAATCTTATAAACCTCAATCATGTCACCCCTGAGCTGTCGTTTCTCCAAGCTAAGGAGCCCCAAGCGTTTTAACCTTTCTTCATATGGAAAGTGTTCCAACTCTTTTATCATTCGAGTTGCCCTTTTCTGCACTTTTGAGGTGCGATAACCAGAACTGTACACAGTACTCCAAATGAGGTTGCGCCATTGATTTATACAGGGGCATTATAATACTGGCTGATGGCTTTTTTTGTAGAAAAAGCCCAGCAGGAACTCATTAGCATAATAGGCCACACCCAACAGCAGAAACTCATTAGCATATTATACCACACCCCGACAGCACAGCTCATTAGCATATTAGGCCACACTCCCATGTTACCAGCAGCATACCAGCAAGCAAACATAAATGCAATTTAGTAAGAATGAAAAACACAAAATTTTAAATTGCTAATTTATTTTTTTAAAATTGTGAGAACAAGTAATATAATCTCTGGTTTTCTCTCACACACAGAAAAACACAAATCACAAAGCATTTTGAAAAATCCTGTTAATTGTGATGTTGAAATTTAAGTCTCTTTAACGTTTCCATTTCAGGCACATCAGAATCTTATTTTGCGTGCCTTTTCTTTAGCAAATTTTGTCACCAATTCCTTCAGGTCAAGTGCTGATGCTTCAGCATGTTCAATTGAAATAGTTGTCAAGAATACACTGCAACACAAGTGTACAATCCATGACCCGGGCTGTACGTTTTGCAACATGCTTATTGTTTTTACTTAGGATACCGATATTAACCATCTAGTTAAACAATACATGGTACTGACACTTTTCATTCATCTACACCAGAAGGACAACAAAAGTACTA